GTATGCTCGATAAATCTGCGGTGACACGCTTTACACGAAATCAGTATCGAGGCGCATTCGGCAGGGCGCAGGCGCCGAAAAGGAAAGGGGCAATGATGGTGGTTGGAGGGCGGGTGAGCTACAACATAGAGAAGCCGCCAAAGGCACTGCAACACTAGTGCACAATCTTGAAGGAAAGCTGCGGTTGCAGAGATCCCTTCGGCAAACATAATGGTGATGAGGCAGCCGGCAGCGGCGTGGGCCAGAGCACTGTGAGAAGGGACTGCGAGAGCGACACGCTTTGCTGCTGCTGCGAGGAGAAAGGAGCGAAGGAGGTTCCTCCACCATGTGCACACCGAAACTGGGACGAACACCGCGCAAGACGCACGCCAGGTCGCGGTCGCTTCTCGCCGACGTGCACACACCACCCAAAGAGAGCGCATAGACATAGCCATGCTGCGCAACGCACAGATACCGGAAGATGCGCTTCACAGTTAGCTTCCGGACCGGAGTGCACCACCGATGGACTTTGCGCCTGTGGTCTCCTCAGCCCACGCCTTCTGTACGCGCTCGAGGTCCTGGAGAACGTGGTCGCCGAACAAGCGCTTGCGCTTGCCCTCCGTGTTCCGCATGTTGCGGAGAAGCATCACTGCAAGCTCGTACGAGTCGATCGAGGTGAAGCGGATCATCCAGCTGTCGCACAGGTCGTCGTTTGCGCTTGTCGCCGTTGCAGGATGACGCTCCTTCTGCTTCTGAGAAAGTGTCGCCGCTGCCACCGGCGGGCGCTCAATGTTCAGCGACGCATCCAGGGAGATGCTTGAGGGGACGCTTGGCACACGAATCATCTCCGCCACATCCGCAGTGGTGACCGCCTCCACGGACATCTTCGGCACGGGCACCTGCTTGCCAAAGATGCGCAACGTCATCTTCGCTTTGAGGGAGTTGAAATGGCCACTAATCTCGCTTGCCTTGTACCGCGGCCACATCTGCACATGCGCCACCCTCCAGGGGAGTGGGTAAAAGAC